CCTTTATAACTCGTAATTCTTCTGTTAAAACAATTCACCTTGCTTTTCCCTTCTGCTCTTTTCTGGCTCCCACCTTTCCATACTAGGAGGTCCCCCTTCCCCCAGCACACTTGACCTAGACTTTCTCAGGAAGGTCTGCACCAAAGATGCAGATCCAGATGCTCCTGAGCTTCAGGTTCAGAGGTCTTTGTTTTAAAACTGTTTCTTGTGGTCTCCTATTTTTCTTTCTAGTTTCTTTTAAACTCAGTAACAAAAAGGACTATATTATTTGTAGCTCCAGAAGTTAGAAAACTTCATTCAACAGTAAAGGATACATTTAGACAGAAAGTTTTTGCTTTGAACTTGAAAATACAGTTTAGAAATACTTTGCAAGTAGGAACCACTTCACTGCATACTTACTTCAAATCCTTGCTTGTAGTCCTGCTTTCAACTCTCAGGCCTCTGTGCTCACTTTCACCCACCTTCATACTTAACTTCCCTATCCATATTTTATTCTCATTTAATTGGAGGCAATCTTCAAAAATAAGGCAAACATCACTTTAAAATTACCACTGAAAAGTTCTTAAAAATCTCACAGAAGACACACACCCTCCTTACACAGTAACCACAGCACCCACAAGTATTTACATGATATTTGGGGTGGTGGCACTTGAGAGAGTAGGGTAACATATTCATGAAGACATCAGCTGGTTGAAACACTTATGTGCTTGTCTTGTTGCTGATTTGTCTTCTTTTCTTTCTTCCTTGCTGACTGGGGACTGAACTGATGGTCTACACACTGAGCTATATCCCACTGTTTTTCCTATTTTGAGAAAATGTCTCACTAAGTTGATTAGGCTGGTCTTGAACTTCTGGTCCTCCTGCTTCAGCTGCCCAGAGTGTTAAGATTACAGGTGTACGCCACCACTATCAGCTCCTTGCTTTTCTTTTTCCAAAGGCCAAAAATTCTAGAATGATAATCTGCATGACAAAATTACTAAACAAACATATACCAAGCTAGATAAACACTGTCCTAAAAATCATTGGTTTGGATATTTGACATCCTTATACCTACAAGCCTTGATTCCCTCTACACAGGACTCATTGTTATATATGAATGGATTTAAAACCAGTCAATAATTATAATTTGCCACTTATTACTTGTAGACACTATTTACTTTAGACACTATTTACTTCTGCTAAAACACTAAAGGAGTATTTTAGCATTTTAGTACATTTAATACTAATTTTTTAATTGACATGCAAGTATTCATAATAGCAATGATGCTGGTGATAATACCTGTCTATTATTTAGTGCTTGCTATATGGATGCCCTTATTTTGTGTTATCATACTAGCGATATGAACCTTAAAAACAAAATAAAACCTCTAAGTTATTTCTATCTCACAGTTCTGGAAACTGGAGTATGGTCAAAACAGGAAAACTGAGGTTGTCATAGGATTATACTGTTAAACGGTAGCAGATTTGAACCCAGTTTTCCTTAAGATCTACACTGTAAACATACTCTATAGCCTCATAATATGGAAGCCATTTCTCATTGAAACACTCTGAATTGAATCTAAGAAGATTTGACTTTTAGCTATTAGCTGGAAGCATTCATGCTTTAAAAATGGCCTTTCTAATAAAAGTTAGTACAGGTTTGCAGGGCATAGCACTTACCTTCATCTGGGGGAGTTGGTACATGTATATAATACATCCTAATTCTTTTTCATACCTCCCTCTCATGCCTCCCACCTTCCTATTTTAGTCCCTTACCTTTTACAAGCAGGTTGACAAGCCTCTTCTCGGGTCAAACACTACAGAATCCACAAATTTTCTCTAGAAATAAACATCTACTTCTTATTTCATGCCTCCAAACACTTCAATGGAAGCTACCATGAACACCATTTTGCTCCACCCAGAAAAGCCATAAACTCAAATCCTGTTCTGCAAATTAACTGGTGGCACTGCAAATGATTCTATGAAGACACAAATCCATAGCTAACTGAAGAAAATATGCTCATCATAGTCAGTTTGTGTGATCACAATTAGGGACTCAATATTGTTCTGTTCCCCTATTAAAATATTTAGTGCTAGTTTAGAAGCACAAAATCAGAATTAGGGATACAACTACATGGTAGAGCATTTAGCTACCAGGGTTTAATCCCCAGCAAATAATATAAAATAAATGAGACATGGAAGCTGGGGATTTAGCTCAGCGGAATAAGCACCTGCCTTGCAAGCAGGCATGAGTTCGATGCCCAGTACCAATAAAAAAGAAAAAGACAAAAATAAATAAATAAATAAATAAACGAGACACTCAAAAATTATTTTAAAATTAGCAAGCTACTAAAAATTAGCAAACAGTTTCTAGTGTGCTCTCCTAAATTCACTTCATTGATATCAGGTTGGGATCTTGAAAAATAAAATCCTAAAATGACTACTATTGATTATGTTTATAAGTCTGATTTAAATTTTATGACAATAAAATTACATACCTATGGAAATTTTCTTATAGGAAATTCAATGTTTTAAAGTCACTTAAGATACTAGAGTTTCATAAAACAAGATAACAACAAAAACCAGATTGTTTATACTATTATCTGTGCAATATTTTATTGGTGTATCCTTTCTGGTTTATTTCAAGGTGACTGCTTTGCACTAAATTCAATGAACACTTATTAAGTTATACACTAAACACTGTATGAAAGACACAAAAACTATATCCTCAAAGAATTTATAATTTAATGAGATACATCAGATGTACACAGAAAAATTCTCTGCATAGAGTACTTTTCTTCATCTAACATAACCAAATAGACACTGAAAAAGACAAGAGGAAAGATGTCCAAGGCTGAAACGTTTATCAATCAGGTCTTGCTTATTATGTGAAATAAGCGAAGAACATTACAGTATTTGCTTTTCCCCCCGTTTTTATTACAGCTCTGGCAATCACCACTACTTTGGTTTCCTTAGTTTCTTACCTTAGTTTATTTTCTGTTCTCTACTCATGTAATAAGATATATCTTTTGGGGATTTCTTGTTCTCAGTTTTTTTGTGTGCTATTTCTGGGGCCCACATCTTAACTCTCCTATGGCAGTATACTTTGTGTTTGCTAGAGTGACCTGCCATACAGTTTCTTTGTGTTTTCTCACTGGAGATCTGGAAACAATCACTGAGCAGATCTGTAAGCACTGAGAGTGGCTCTGTAACCCTGGAACCTAACTATTCAAAAACAATTACCTTCAGGAAGTCTGTCTTTAGGAAGTGTAATCAGGAAGGTAAAGACAACAGCCATTACAGTCTCCCTCAGTGATAGCACTTCCTTCCCTCTCACTGCTATCAGCATTGGCTATTAAGATAACAGTAGTGAGGGGCTGGGGATTTAGCTCAGCGGCATAAGCGCCTGCCTTGTAAGCAGGCAGTCATAGAGTTCGATCCCTGGTACCGATAAAAAGGAAAAAGACAAAAAAAAAAAAAAAAAAAAAAAAAAAAAAAAAAAGATAACAGTAGTGAGACGGACTTGAGTATTAAAAGCAAAAGAGACAATGCTAAAAATATATAGAATGTTAACATATAAAGTGATTACTAGGGATTCAGTGATATTAATATGAGGCCAAACTCAGTACTTTGCACCTGCTGAAACTCGGGCTAATTTGACAAAACCTTTAGGTCTCAGTACAAAGACACTTTTTACTTACACATGTGAATAGCTAGTTTACCATGCTTTTTATTTACCCTTATCTCTGAAATTTAAAACTTATTATTTTTTCCATACTTTAAATTTTGTTACAGAATACTGGCATTGTAAAACCGATCAACAACACAACATATGTATTAGTTTTCTCTCAAGGTAGAAATCTCACTATAAAAGACAGGGAAGAAAGCATTCAAAGGCATCAGGACTAGATTAATCATAAACCTAGCCAACTGAACCTGATTTTCCTTCAAACACTTCCTGCCTTTTGTTTCAACCTGCAGTACACCTTCAAGGTTAACTGCAGTCTCCCTGAGCAACAGAAGCACACTCCAAACGGGGAGATACTGATTCTTAATGGAATGCGATTTATTTACTTAACTATATTGTTTCATCTGAAAACATGCTGTTATTGACTGCTAAACAATATACACTGCATTTCTACCCACACAAGGCCAACTCTTGTGTGATATCAACACACCCACCTCATTGTAAAATATTAAGAGAGTGGTTTTTCATCAAGTTCCCAGGAAAGAAACAGGTTGGAAAACAAAAATGAACGTAACTCAAATTTTACGTATCCTGGGGGGGGGGGTGTCCTCAGACAAGGATTACGGAATATAGGGAAAGCACAATGGATAAAGGGGAGGAGGTGGTTAACGATTTCTCCTTCCGGAGTCTAAGAACGTCCAGAAGCAGAGCAACTCTTGACCCCACGCAGCAGACCAGAGGACGGGGGGCGGGGGGCTGTGGGAGGAAGGCTGAGCATCGGAGAATGGGGGATGGGAAGAAGCCAAGTGGGGGACGGCTGCTTCGTCGGAGGAGCTGGTTGTCTAGGTCGCATCTTTGATTTCTGCTTCACCTTATCCTTCTCTTTTGGAAAACATGACTTTATTTTACGGAGAAAACTAGATCTTGATCCCACCCTAGCGAGCAGGGACAGGTGAAAGGAGGGATGCCTGGCCTCCCAGAGGTACAAAACAGGGGTGGAGGTGGCAGCTTCGAGAATGGGAACCCGTCAGTTCCCCGCCAAGGCTGAGGCGCCGGACTGAAGGGGCCTTTAAACGCCTATAGTCAGGTGGGAAGCCCCTTCTATGGAGCAGGGAACTAAGGAGCGACAATAAGTAGCTGCTTCGGTTACTCGAGGATGCGGAGCCCTCTCCTCAGGGAATGCCAGGAGGTGGAGGGCCGGCCCCGCCCCCTCAGGGAAGGGCCCACCGGCAGTTTGGACCGGGAGGGAGACTACCCCTGTTCCTGCCCTTGCTTTCCTCTTGAGAACCCAGCGTCCCCAGCCCCGCCAAGCCCCAGCACCATCGCCTCCTACCTTTCCCCGGCACTCCGGGATCCGCTGCCAGCCGCCTCCGCCTCCGCCGCCGCTCCCCATACACAGCCTCCCGAGGCCCCGCCCCCTCGACTACCGGCGGCATCATCGGCATTCATCAGGGCCAATCGTCGCCTCGCCTCTCCATCGCCGGCACCAATCCGCGCCGTCTGGAGGAGGGCCTTTTCCAATACATTTCAGCTCCTCCCAAGGCCCCAAGATCCCTTTTGTTTGGAGAGAGCCAGACCGGGATTGAGTTTGCATCACTTCCGGGAGGAAGCACCCACCTCCGGCCCAGGCTTGAGGGTGGGCACCCCTTTTTGCCGGCCTACGTTCCACAACTTTCCTACTGTGGGAGGTTACTCGGCTGGGTTGTGGCAACACCTTCGTGTTTTACCCTGACTGTGCGGGAAGCTTAGGAATGGTAGGCTTCTGATGACCCGATTGCAATTTTATTCACAACGCTAATAAATGAGTTTTGGTATCTGTCTTAGAATTAGTTGCTGAAAACGTGGCATTCTTGTTCGGTGTATTTTTTTTTCTTTCCATTCCAGACTGCCTATGGTTGTGGTACTGGAAGCAAGAGCGACAAAATGAGGCGACTGGAGAGCACCCTTCTCTTTTCCTACCTACCGTGTGGGGGGAAAGGGTTCTGGTTCTGAAGCCTCTGGGACAGAGACTCCGGAGAGAGCACTCTAAAGGCATAAACTCTGTCCACCTGCCTTCCAGAGAGAAGTCAAATAATTACAAATTTGTGTGTAATTTTTCCAGACTAATTGCTTGCTGAGAGGACTTTTCTGTCGTATTGGACTGTAGGGCAGTGGCATTTGCGGTGAAGCTGAAACAAAGGACAGTTGTTTATAAGGGGTGTCTATACTTGTGAACACAGGAATGCAGATCTTGGTGATAACAGGCCCTAGGCAGTACTAAATAACCTGAAGGGAAGAGAATGAATCCTAGTTACATTCCTGAGGTGAGCCTTACTGATTTCCTTTTCTATTGGCTGCACTCTTTGCTCACTGATCAGTTCAGCTGGTTGAAGTAATCACATTATTTTAAATAAAACATAGTTACTTGTAATTACTATTTACAACGCACAAATAATATATTACTTTTAATCTTCACAATGGTTAGCAGTGTTAGGTTAGACAGTGTTAGGGACCTGGTACTCACCTAGGCAAACAGCCCTTACAGCAGATGCAGCCTGCCCTCATGCAGCTTTCTGTTTAAGGGAAAAGATACAATCAGTTTGTGCAGTCATAGTGGGAAGAAACTACGCAGGAATTTACCGTTATCACTAGTCACATAGCTTCATTTAATGGTAGTTAATTTTCTGTAGGGAATTATATGAGAAAGCCTATGCTATGTCCAATTTACAGAGGAGAGGCTAGAGATTCAGAGAAATCTAGTAAAGTTGTAGACTTCGTAAATGGCAAAGAGAACTTCAGTGTTAAGCTGTACATAGTGGTGGTATGGCTGCTCAGGTCTATACAATTTGTTGTTTCCAAGAACACAGAGGACAATCTTTGGTGGAATAGGAAAAAGTGCCAGATCTGAAGGAGGTAGTAAGACAATAGACAAGGAAAATTTCATGCCGTTTCATCTTTTGGCCATTTTCTGTTCCTCCCTTATAGAAATGAGAACTTGACTTCCTGGGGGCTGCATCTGCACCTTCCTTTCAGACAGATTTGCTAGTTTTCTGACAGGTGTTATTTCTCTGTCCTTCTGAGCTGGGGCGAGAAGGGGGTGGTTCATGCTTTCAGGGTGAGGAAGCCCTGAGAAACAAGCTTTTACCTTTTTTTAAAGACCTCATGGAGAGGTCTGACCCTGTCTGTCTGCCCTCCCAGCTACCCAAATTCCTAGAATGGCTGTTCCCAGCAGCCTGAGTATGGGAACAATGCCTACTATGCTAGGATGTGGCATACTCAACCGTGTCACCTGCACACCCACAACAGAACATTAACCATTGTTATGACCATATACTCAGCTATTCTCACTCCTCCAAGCTTATTCTCCACTTGCCTTACCCCTCTAAACTGGTGCCTCTAATGTCTCTAATCCTTTGCCTTAAAAGACCCAATTCAATAAACTTGACTCAGCTTTCCCTTAAGGTTACTCCAGGCAATCCCTCCTGAAACCCCCGAATTCAGGCTGGTTGTGTTTTTTACTGGATCACTACTATTTATCTAACACTTGTTTTTAAAGATCCATTTTATCCTGTCAGTTACAGTATTATATACCTGTAATTCCAGCACTCAGGAAGCTGGGGCAAGAGGCTTTAGAGTTTGAGGCCAGCATATTAAATACATGTTGAATTCAAGGCCAGGCTGCACAATCACAGACTGATCTCATGTATTCAAAAAGATACCTGGAAAGGCAAGATGAAGGGCCAATCTCACAATATGTGCTAGCTAAGTACCGACTTGACTTAAAATCTCTGAAATGGTTAACAATAGAGCATTAGGGCTGGGACAGGTCCAAAAAGTTGAAAAATCCCATTTCCTGCTCCTCCCTTTGCTTTGCCCAGGGATGTGCAATAAGGAAGTGCCTGACAATGAGGCCGATGTGGGGACAACAAGCTTTCTGCTGGTGTCTGAGTCACTCTGAGGACCGTCCTAGTGAATCAGCTTCTCCTCGGCTTCCCTCCCTTTGTAATTATTAATTTATAGCCACCTATTCTACTCTAAAGCTGAGCTGCTGGGAGCAGAACCCTGTTGTCTACCTACTGTATAGCAGTGGGCTCATCAGACTCCCTGAGTTCCCCTTGGCCATTCCTGAATGAGTGTGGAAGAATTCAGAAAGAATAAGATCATCCCTGTCTTGTAGAATTTAGTCCTGAAGGTGTTCAAATTGCTTTCCTTTTAGCTTATCATCCCCTGGAGGTAGTAACAGTCAGGCTATGAACTTTGCCAGGCTATAGCAATATGAGCAAACCTGGAGTCTTGTAATCCTTCAATATATAATACCTGTAAATAAATTTAGAGACTGGTGTGAAGATATATACAGAAATAGAAAATGGGCTCATAATATCTTAAATTTTTATAACACAGTGTGACCCGTTTATATCTATTATTTTATTAATTTGCCAGTAAATATTCACATACTTAACATGTATCCAGCAAAAATTTGGTAAATAAGTGGCCAAAGATTATAGACGGGGTCAATTTTTCTCTAAATCTTTCCAGGTAGATGTTCTATAAATGTTTATCACTGTCTTGCAGAGCCAATGATAGAGTAGAAGTTAGGCAGAAAGGAAAGAAATTTGGAGTCTCATTTCCATTCTGTCATAAACTTTATTAGTTTCCTATGTCACAACCAATTACTACAGGGTGGGTGGCTTAAAACAACAGGAATTTATTCTACCTGTCTGGAGGCTAGAAGTCCAAGATTAAGGTGTTGACAGGTTTGTTGCTTCTGGGGGCGCTGCAGATTATCCAGGCCATGCCTCTGTCCTAGCTTCTGGTGGTTCCCAGCATTCTCTGGCTGCAGTTGCATCAGCTTAGACTCGGCATCCATTATCTCGTGGGCTTTTCCCACTGTCTCAGTGTTTCTATTTGTCTTTCCCTTTTTTATCAGACCCTAGTCATACTGGATTTAGAGTCCACTCTAATCCACTGCTATCTCAACTCATTATTACATCTGCAAAGACTCTACTTCCAAATTCACATTCTCGGATTCTGGGTGTATGTGACTTGGGGACTGGGGTGGGGATGGGGCATCATTCAATCCAGTATCCAAACTTGGCAAAGTAAACTCCCACTTAATTCTATTTACTTTACTGGTAAATGTCAGGAAAGAAATGGTTCTAAAAAACGTCCAGCTCGAGTAATGGAGGAGAGTGCTGAGGGCTCTGCTGTGTCTTCACCTCTTCAAGCCTTCTCACTCCTCATCCACTAGCGCATCTGGAGGTCCCAGTCCAGAGGCTGGAGAAGACTCACTAGCGGAGGCAGGCTGAAGCTGAAGGGAAGGTGAGCTCTCCACAGCTCCCTGCGTTACCTCCCCTCATCATTTGTTCTCACAAAGACCTTTCACAGATCTGGCGGCTGGAGAAGCAGCGGAGTTCAGAGATTTCTGGGTGTGGCCCTAACCGCGTTCCCGAGTTTATTGCTCCCCCTAGTGTTCAACGAAGAATCCTGCGGCTGTCAGCATTCTTGGTCATCTCTGGTCTCTGATGATTTTTCCTTTTATGGTTGTGGGCTGAAAGTCCAGCAGGTAGGGGATTTTAAGGTGGTTTAAAAAGCCACTTTGAGGAACAGATTTTTTTTTTGTTTTGGTTTTTAGGTACGGTCCTTAACAGCTTGGCTATGATGGAGCGGCAAGATTTATCTTGGATTGAGATTGAGAGGTCCTAAAGGAAGAGGGAAAGAAATTTGAGGGCCTACTCTATGTCAGGCACTGTGCCAGGTGCTTTCCCTTCATTATATCTGTAATCTTTGCAATGTTCACATATATAATCCTTATAGCCATTCTGAGGCGTAATTGTTATTTTAGATTTTTAGGCCAGCTTGCAAGTTCAGAGAGGCTAAGTATCTTGCCCAAAGTAACATAAGTACAAAAACAATGATAACAATATCAACCATTATTAAGTGCCTACTTTGGCCCAGAGGCATTATTTCTTTCAACCCACACAGCAACATTTCAAAGTTTATTTACTGATAAGTCAACTGAGATTTAACTAGCTTAAGAAAGGAACAACGAAGAAATTTGCTTGCTATCTTTACTCTGCTACCTTATCTTTTTTTTTTTATTTTTTTTTTACCTTTTTTTTTTTTTTATCGGTACCGGGGATCGAACCCACGACCACCTGCTTGCAAGGCAGGTACTTATGCCACTGACTGCTACCTTATCTTTGACAACTGCTTTCCCTGGAGGAAAGGTAGCCTCTTTAAAAATGGTTCTGGGGAAACTGGCTACCCACATGCAAAAGATTGAACCTGGACCTGTATGTCTTACCATGCACTAAACTAAAATAAAAATGGATCAAAGCTATAAATATTACAACAAAAACATTCTGCCTGAAGACAAAATAGATAAATCTCTTCAAAACCCAATAAAAATGGGCATCTGAAATGAATGAACACTTT